TGTATCCCAGCACCCCAGCAAATGCTCCACTTGCTCCTGGCTTCCACAGGCTGCCCCTGCTGGCAATCATCTCCCATCCCATCCCCAGTGCGGCTGTGGGTTTTAGCAACAGAACAGAGTCCACATGCGTACAGTGTCTCTGGTTTGAAAACCTCCTCCATGCAGGTGGTGTGAAATGAGCCCCCTCCTAGGGGACAGGTGTCCACGTCACCGCCACCAACGGGCACTGACTGGTCTGATAGTTTTAGCAGAGAGAGTCCAGGTGGGCATGGACTGATCTGCCTACTCACTCCTTGAGGTGGTGCTAGGAGGTCAGGGCCATGGCAGGTTGGTGCTAGCCACTGAATAGGGGAAAGCTGGCCCAGCCACTGCTCAAGCCAGAGCTGTTCTCAGCTTGGAGGACATCAGTTTCCAGTGCATTTTACGTGTGAGGAAACTGAGGCATAGAGCAGAAAGAGACGTGCCTCACAGTCTGCCAGCACAGAACACTAATGGGGCTGGAACGAGAACCCAGGAGTGCTGCCTCCTTGTCCATGGGCCTGTCCCCTGGGCCATGTTGCTGTTCTCCCCAGCACCGTTCCTTAGCAGGACATTCAGAATGCCCCATGGTCAAGCAGCTTTCTGCTCCCCAGGAACATCCCAGGTCCTGCCCCGGCTCTGTGCTGACCCTGGATGACATTAGCATGGAGGCAGTAGCAGACTCATAACCTTCTTTACATGCTTTAGCCACTAAAGGGGACCAGAGACCCCTCTAGTATCAATTGCTTTGGTATCAATGCGGGACAGGAGATAAAGCGAAACAGCTGATTGTAAGGGACAGTTCTCTCTCCAAAGAGGCCAAACAAAGAGGAACTTGCCTGACAGACAGGAGGCTGCCGTCCACCCAGCGCCACTCCCCTTCCTTCGCTGAGTCGCTGAGGCCGAGCCAGTACAGGTCGGGCTCAATGAGTTGGTTTGACAAAAACGTCTATGTGGGAAAACAGGTGAAGGAGACAATCATGATCCGAAGCAGAAGGTGAGGAGGGAGGTGAGGAGGTTTCATGGGGCCTGTGTTTGTGGCCAGCAGAGTCTGTAGCTGTAGATTCTCACCCCTCCCCCTGTTTTCCCAGCCCTTTACATGAGGGCTGCCACCCTACATTCCCATGATGCACCAGGCACTCCCATGATGCATCACTTCCTCTCTTCAAGAGGAATGAGTGTTGTACATCATGGGAGATGTAGACTGAGTGGGTAGCCCGACCTCTGAAGAATGGGGGCCTGAAGCATCCAAACTACAACTCCCATGAGGCACTGCAGGAGCACTTCCACATGGAAATGTTTCAGATTTCAGTTGCAAATTTGCAGTATATATATTTTTAGCTCAAATAAATGAAATTTTCCACACTGTGGGTGCCTTAAATCCTGGCCCAAGGACAGGATAGTGAAATACACACGCTATGAGCTGTACCGCTCGTGAGTCAGATTTTGGTTCTGGTGACTCCAGATTCACACCAGTATCTTGCCCACTTCTGCACTACATGGGCATCCTCCCAGCACCAACTAGTCTCCCAAAGTCCTGTTCCCAGCAGGCACCGGGCTCAATTTAAAACTTAAAGTGGATCCTCCGTCAGGGCAGGATTCCTTCTGCAAAGTCCGGATGAGGAATCTGGAGTGGGGTCTTCCATAGAACATCAAAAAGCCTTCCCTAGTGTAGTAGTGAGCTGCTCTGAAAAGCATTTCACCTACGGGACAGCAGCTGAATTCCTGCCCAGGTCGGTAGCAATCAAATATTATTTTTAGGTCCCTATGGCACTCTGTGATTTGTATTCGCAGGGGATTAGAACTGCCCCCCCATAGATGAATTTTGATTCATATCG